GCTTAATCTCCACTGACAACACCACCTGGAACCAAAAAGCTGTGACAGTTGTTTCCACACGGACCCAGTCCCTCCTGAGAAGGTTGGTGATTTATATTTTATTTAATAATATAATCTCGTTGTGCCAACCTAACTCCACGTCTCTGTGTCCAGATTTGCTGCTTCCGAACTTCCATCCTCAACCTCCAGACACACCTTCTAACAATAAAACTGTTAAACCGTTGTCAGTGTTCGGAAATTATTCAGAGCTCAAACAACCGATCTTAACACTTATTTGTCATGAGACAAGGATGGATGAACCTCAGCAGGAGGAGAAGGGAAGCAAACAGCTCAAACAATCACTTTCCCACCACACAGTTGTGCACAAAGTCAACTTGTGACTCACACCAGTTCAGATCATTCTGTTTTCTTATGTGATGTGTTCAGGGAATGGGGTTTTATTAAGGTAAAAAAATTGAGGGTAACTTGTCCAGATAATGTCATAATATATAACATAACAACTTTTAATTATTATTATTGTTTTATCATTGACTCACAGCAGAACTGTGATCCAGCAGAAACAAAGTGATAAGCTGAACAGGTCTCATTTTTGCCTGAATGTCAAACAATACCTCAAAAATCTTCTGTTTAATGTCTCCATAACTATCTAACACATCAAACAATTAAAATTTACATTTTCTTTGCTTTGTTTGTGTGCATTTTTTGGGGAAAGTTACTAAACTTCAAGCAGGAATCTCTGCAGTGTGTAGGGGGAGTGCGGGCAGAGTGTGTCCTAACCATAATTGGTGGAGTTTGGGATGAAGGCGGAGATTCTTGGATGTGGGCGGAGTTTGGCAAAATCGCAATTGGCCGGGTTGACTTGTCATGTGGGGCAAGCTAAAATATGATGTAATGGTAATAGTAAAATTATTGTGAACGTAATATATTTTATGACTGTCTATAGTTTAAATCAGAACAATGATTCAAAAAAAAATTATTGTGAACATGTAAAAGTAATTTATTGACTTCAAATTTGGTGTGACTAGCACCTTCCTCTCTCGAGTTATGAATAATATTATTTTTATTTAAATAGTTGCTTCTAGTTGTTTCGATCGATTTACAGCTAATTCAATCTGGCTTCTTTAAAATCCACCCAAAATAGTCAATCTGACCAATCAGGCCTTTTGAAAACACTCCCTCAGAATGCAAACAGACCAATCATGTTTTTGACAAGCTCCGCCCACATACCAAGAAACTCCCTTCTCAAATAGAAATAAAAAAATAATTCCTCAGCATCAGTTTGAAAAAGAAAGCTTAAATATTAAAGTAAGGAGCACTTTCTAACAGCATATTTGATTACAGATGATCAAACTTTGCATCAGTTTGCAGCACCTGATAAAAAGCTGTTGACCATCTGCACTAACAGATTTGGCTCATGGGCAGAGAGGCAGTTTAAAGTTTTCTTTAAACAGCAGAATGCAGAAGGCAGAAAAGGAATAAAACTGAGGAGGGGTAAAGAAAAAGAGGCCAGCAGCRGGACACCTCCTCCTCCTCCCCCTGGTTGGCCTCAAGCAGCCGGCTCATTGCCTGCAGGTGTAATAACACCAACTGATCCAGGGCTCCAGTTTGTGCAGAAGAAAACATCTCTCCACGCCTGTCTCCTGGATAAACAGCAGCTCAGCTGGAGGTCTGTGGAGTCGTTCTGAGCAGCTCTGTGTGTGAAATGTCTCAGATTTTGGTTTGACCAAGCTGAGCTGAAAATCTTCTTTTCTTCTTGTTGCTTCTGCTGTAACAAATATGTCTTCTTAGTCATAATTTGAAAAAGAAAGTCATGTTGTGTGTTATATTTTTCTTTTTATTCCATTCTGCTTCAAGATGAAACTTTGACACTATTTACCTTTATGAAACAATACACGACAAGCTTCAGCGTAACTTTGTCTAAACCTGTTTGAAAAATTTTACTGTTTGCCTTTCAAAACCAGATGGAAATTATTTTACTTAAAAAAGGCAAAATATCAATAACATTTTTGTGTTTGAGTTTGTGTGTTTCATATGAATCCCTGTCAGGTTAACAGATACTGAGCTAACATGTGGAGGTAGCTGAGAGTCATGCCCAACACACACACTGACAGCTAAACCATCTAGGATCTTTATTGGGATCTTTTGTCTGTTTATCGTCAAAAAATGATCATAGTTTAAAACTCTGGCATGAAAGGTGGCAGGTAATTAATAAGCATTGCTTCAAGACGTGTTTAGCTTTTTATTTTTAGATGAGTTCATCATGACGGTTTGTTGTTCTTATTTCAAAGTGTAAAGGTTTTTGTTCCTCTCATCTTTTGTGCTGCAAGTTGGAGGTTAGAAGGTTTACAACATATTTGTGAACWTTTAATCTGCATAAATAATCATTGTGAATGCCTATCAAGCAGTCACACTATTGAGGTCATTTTTTCTCCTGTACATTTTTCAGCACATTTCCCATTCTACAATTTTGGTCCTGTTTTCACTGTTTATATATCAAAACGTTCAGCTCTTTCAGGACATTTCTGCTGGGATTTTTATTACTACAGTAATTTAAACTTTTTGCGAAATGTAGCTTTTTCTGCACATTGTTCTCATTGAAAATGAATGTAGCTCTTTTTAACATCCTTAAAATCCATCAAAATGTCCATAAATCTTTATTTTTGTTCTTGTTCTGCTTCTTTATGCTAATTTCAGCTTCATTTGGCTTCTTTTTCTCTTTTAAGCTATGTATGCTCTTTTCAACTTTCAACTGCTTTCTCCTACTTTCAGCTGTTTTTGTGATTTTAGCTACTTTTTAGCTAATTGAAGATTTTTTTCAGCTAAATTCACCTTTTTGTGATAATTTTAGTTTTTTCCTCCTTAATTCAGCAAGTATGCAGTTTCTTTGGGCTACATTCAGCTTTTTCAGCTACCTTTTTTTGGCTATTTTTATTAGCTTTCCACATTAAGCAGTCACACTGTTGTTATCACCTATTATTATTGTTTATGTGACTGAACATTGCATTATTGTCTTGGATGACACTCAAATGGGTTCAACCTAATGGAATGCACTTTATCTTTTTATTTGTTTGCTTATTTTTTTTGTTAATTTATTAATGAAAAATATATATTGCATTCATTAGAAATTCATTAGAAATACATAAGAACTTAGGATTTTTTTGTGATGGGAATAAGTTTTCAGGAGAATGAGTGGGCTAATATAGGTGCATACTCCTTTGAGTGTATGTATATTGTATAT